TTTATTATTATATTGTTCATAAATACTATATATAGCATTTTAAATGATAATTCTAAAAGTATTTATTATCTTAAACACACGATAAATAAAAAAAATCCTATTATTTTATTATAAAAATTTTTAAATAAATATTAAATAAATATTAATGAAAATTTTAAGTGATATGAATCAAATTGATAACATCGTTCTTATTTTTCTGGTCTTGGAGTAATCAGAGATGATTAGAAATGAAGAATACGTTCGAAGGTTGTCATCCTTATCCTCTTCCTCCTTCTTTATCCCTTCACCCTTCATCCCTTCCTTCTCCTACTCCTCTGATTCTCCCCTTGATTGAGAATACTCCTGCTACTAGGATTCCGTAACTAAGGTTGGTGCGATCGCACCTCGCAATTATCGAATCCAATTTGTCGAAGTTGGACGCAACCCTAACGCAAAGAAAAAAAAATTTCGATAAAAACGACGACATGAACGAATTTATTCTCCGAAAAAAAATCAAAAAAGTCATAGAATTACGGGATCATGTGTCTCTCGGGTATTAATTTTGATCCATTTTTCGGTTTTCATTTGTTTCATATTTCGCATTATTATTCTTGGATCATTGATTAGGAATTTTAACATTATATAAAAAAACTGATTTATTCAATTAAATTGTTCCTTTTTTATATTTTTTTTTTTATATTACAATTTATTTACAAAATTTTCTTAGTTAAAAATACATAAAGTGTATATTAGATATGAATTTGAGGTTATGTAAGGAGGGAATTATTTTCGGATATTTAATTACAAATTCATCTTTATAAACTGAATGTGAAATATTTATTATATTCCTTTTATTATTTATTTAAGAAATTAGTCAAATTATGATTAAATCAAAATGATATGAAAATAATCGAGAATAAAATTAGGAAACTTAGTCGAAATATAATCGATAAGTATTTGAGGTTAGGTTAAAGGAAAAATAATCCTACGTAAAACTTTTTATTCGCATAGTACAAGCGTGAATAGTTCTATTCTGTTATTTCAGTTATTTTATTTGTTCGTTTGTCTTTTATTTGATTTTTTATTTTTTGGTTGTGTTGTGTTGTTTTTTTTTCCTTCTTTCTTCTTTTTTTTTGTTTTTTTTTTTTTTCCTGAAAAATATGTAGACGACAATTTTTAGAGCGCGCATATAAAAATCCGAGACCAGGACGAGATCCAACGGCGCGTTTCATTTTTGAAGTGTCGCTGGCACGGAACGAAGTGGACGTTTGCAGCTGATTTTTCTGAATTCACGTTTGCAACACACGTACCTTTGTTGCATATACATTTACGTGTATATATACATATATATACAGATACATACACGAATACACGGAATCACACAAATCTTTCTATTCTCATCTTATCGAAGCGTATCATGTTTTACATTTTCATTCAGGAAGAAGAAAGAACAGAAGTGGTGTATTTGTATCGAACATGGTTTGATACAAATCTGTCCGATGGATCTTCCATCGAGGATTTATATATCGCGTTCGATAGGAAAAAAAGTATTTTTATATATTTATAAAAAAAATTCGTATCGAAAACGGTCGAAAGATTTTACTTGTTTAAAAAAATTCAAACTCGAC